CTTACCACAGATTATTGACTATGGCAGAGCTTGTCAATAACCTTGACTATGGCAGAGTCTTACTTGTCAAGAATAATAGTAATATGTATATTAGTAAAACATACTAATCTATATACATATAAAAAGGTTTGGTATTTACCTGAAAAAGTAACTAATTTCCCGCCTAAATAATTCATTTTTACCTTTTTTAGTAATTTATTTATTTATTTATTTATTTTGAAAAAAGACGGTTTTTATTTAAAATCTAAATTAAAAAAGTCAACAATTGCGGTGGATCAATTCATTTGTCGAGATTTCGGTACCTTCTTTTGCTACCATAACTAAGAAAAGTATTAAATGAATAAGTTTATTTACTGTGTATTATTTTGGTCCAATATTTTTGTCAAATATATTCTGCTTTGTTTTGCAAAGTAAAATTTATACGTATCCAATAAGCCAATAACTGCATTTCACGCGTACTCATTTGTCCAAGGAGCTCGATTGAAACAAGCTTGGCGACTGGTTCAGATACTATTGCGTGGGGATCAGGGACGAGCAACCTCGCCACTAGGGAAGCTTCAATCACGAGGGAGATCGGGAATTTTCTCCATTAAGGGCTGACGAGATCGACAATTTGGCTGAATTCAGCGAGCATAGAGAGGGTAGAAAAAGGGGGCTTCTTCACGGATTCTCAATCACGGGCATAATTTTCAAAAATTGAGCGTCTAAGAAGAGCTTTGTGCCCTCGGAGCCCAGAAGGTTTGAGAAAAGAGGGGGATGTGGCTTAGAATCGGGTAACAGTTGCTCTAAATTAGAGAATTGGCTGAAAATGAATGAAGAGGAAAGGCCCAGGCCCGGGGCTCTTTCGATAGCCCAAGGGAGAAAGGAGGTGTTTTCGATACAGATTCCAATAGCTGGGGGAGGAAAAAGATGAGTACGTAGAGAAATCATTCTGAGACGGGTCTCTATACACGAGCCATTGGGTCTGCGACCGCTCGCACGGCCAAAAAAAGTACGTGTAACATGACGACTGCACTTACGAGGGCGAATAGACCTACGGCCGACCTGCTGGCCGCGACTGGAGGCTGTGATGTGCAGGATGCCGATGATTGGGTGGCCGATATACACGGAGAAAAGGATGAACATGGTGTTCACGTGGAGGACATGGGAGTGGCGCTGCCGCTGGATGACGGGGACAACGGGTCGTGGCGATGACAGAGCAAGAGATGGGTTTAGGCATAAATTGACTGAAGAGTTTTGCCGCAAAAAAGTCTGCGCGAGGGCCTTCGCAGGACGAGTTGGGGCTGCTACGCGTGTGGGTTTGAGGGACAGGTGTACGGGATGGGCGGGCAATTGAGCTTCACCATTGGAAACTCGCAGTTAGTGGACGTGTACTGCCCCGGGACCAGTGCGTTGCTGCAGATGAAGAAGGGGTGCGTCTGGATTGAACACTGCCAGTCGCTGCTCATTTTTCCACCGTGATCTGCAATACGTTGTCGTACCCATCCGCACAATTTGACTTAAAACTCAGAACATATAAGATCAATGTAAGTTGTCCATTTGGGTGTTATTTATTTTTGGTTAATTTGATTTAATGTTGTGCGTTACTTTGTTGATGGTTATTCTATTCGAGGGTAGAGCAACTCAATGTTCGTGCTTGACTCTTTAATGCTGTAAATTTGTAAAATTTTTGATGGTGTCTAGCTTAAGAGGAATTAAGAGAAAGAAATATGGAACTTTTGCGTCTTACATATCTAAAATCGTCTATCTTTGAACTGGTGAAAATTCGTGGTGCTGATAATTCTAAAAATTTGTGATTAGATGTCCGTGTATTTTTTATGGAATAAAATCATGCAAGAATTCGAGATTTAGATACACATTATATTTGAATACTTGACAGTACATTATAGTAATAACATAAAGTGGTCCATTTAACATTTTGGAAATGCTTTTCGATTCTCATTGTCAGTACAAATTTGCATTTGCATTGTGTTTGTAGATTTATTCAAGTTTATCTTCAAGTTTTCCTTTGGCTGGTTTCTGGATATGCAATCCAAAGTTGACATAATCTCCACTAAACTTGAAGAAGCGTGTATAATAGAGTTATCCCTGGAACACATCACAAAATATTTCTGGCAAGTTGGAGGAGCACGTGAAGGTTTCATTTGATTCTTCATGGAAAGAAGTTTTGTGCGGAAAACATCTAGAAGAGCGAAAATTCAGCGTTAAAGTCATTGGAACTTCTCAGGTGGATGCTTTTATCTGTTTTCAGCTTTCCTTTTGTTTGTCAATGTAGCAAGAGTTCTAAATTCGTTAAAGAAATTACGTGTGAAGTAGTGTCTGAGTTTGCAAATATAGATAGATTATGGAGATTTGTCCTCAGACACTGTTTAAGAATGTAATAACATTTATGCTGCAAATACATAAGATTATGGAGATTTGTATTTGTAGATTATGACATTTCTTTTCTGTTGTTAATTAACCAAATACATATCATACAGGAAATTGTGGTCTTTAACAAAAGAATGCCATACTGCAAAGTTATTATGGGCAGGGAATAGTGGTCTTTGACAAAAGAATGTTATGTTGCAAAGTCATTCTCTAAGCATATGAAGATTGAAAAACAGGTGGTGATTATTATAATTTATGAAAATTTGAAATGTCAGGTTGAGTTGTATTGTTTGAAGTGTTAATATCCTTATTCTTATCTATGATAGAGCTGTCAAAATCCGTAGCCCGCCAAACCCCACCTGTTGGCGGGGCGGGCGGGTCTGATAAACGCAGGCCCAACCCGCGTTGCCACGGGGTGTGGGTTAGGCGGGCCAGCCCCTCCTGTTATTTTTTTATCCTGCTTTAATTAATAAAAAATCCATTTTAATCCCTTCAACAACAAAATCAGTTGAGCTACTCTCCATTGTTGCTGCCTTTGTAAGCTTTTCCTCTACACTTCATCCGATTTTTTTTATTGATTAGGGTGCTCTCCGGCGACGTCAGTGGCGGAGATTTTCCAGCATCCACGCAAGAAAGAAGAATGTGACGACCTTGAGAACAGTGGTGCAAACTCGAATATTCCGACTACCGCTAGAACCGACTTTTCAAACTCGAATATTCTGACTACCGTTGGAACCGACTTTTTGCCTCTGACATCCAACATCGGGAGAAGAAATTTACCTATCAAAGTTCAGTTGGTTTCGGATAAAATTGGGGCATCAAAACTTAGAAGTTCGAAATTAAGTAGGGTGTCGATCCCCAATGGTAAAACGACGACGGTTGCATCAATTTCAAAAGAGAATGGAAAGGACCCGAGAAATAAGTTATCTTACAACAAACTGGAATTAAGTTTAATGGGTTGATAGAAATTTTGTTGTTCTATTTGTACCTCAGTTGTTGATTAGTTTTTATTTCTATTTTTTCCAACAGCAAAAAATAAAAATAAAAAATTTATTAACTCATAAATGTTTAACCTCCGGTGTGAATTAGTTTAGTTGTGTGATTTTGGTGAATCCTTATATGATTTTGGCTGTCTTTTATAAATATATAAACATAATAATTTTTTTTAAAGTGGGCCAGCCCACGTAGCCTCAGCGCACCCCCCGTAGCCCGTGGCCTGTGCGGGCTAGCCCGTTTAGGCCCATTCCCTGGTGGGCCTAGAAAAAAAATAAGCCCAACTCGCCCCTTTTGCAGGCCAGGCCGCGTGCTCAGGCCATTTTTAACATCTCTAATCACTGATATAAAATGCAGATCATTTTTTTAAAGTATGATAACTAAAATATGTGACAATCTATAGTTTTACTGAACCTCGATTATAGACAATAGTTATAAGACAACATAATATGTGAAATCCTATTTACTATATAGATATAGGTCAATTTATGATATAAAATTTCAAAACTAATACATCCGACTTTGGTGTAAAGTGGATGATTTTATGGTATAGTATGGGAAATTTTATTTAAGGTATGTGATGGTCATTTTAATTTTTGGTAAAAAAAAAAATATATTGTTATTAATAAACCCGACTATGATATAAAGTGGGCGATTTTATGATATGGATGATTTCTATTGTAGTTATTTTGCAAAATGATTCCCACCATAAATCCGCTTTCGGTATAAAGGGTCCGCTTTATATAAGTTACATAAATCAATTTGTAATTAAGTTAGAGTCCCTTTTATGCTATGAATCATTTTTCATAATAAGCTTTACAATAATAAGATAGAATTACATATAACACAAACATAGTAGTACTTTTATGCATGTTGCTAAAAATTAGTTAAAAGATTATTTACATATACACCAAAAAAATCTCGCTTTACTTTTTAGTCAAGTAAAATCGGGTCAATAAAAATATATATATGTTTTATTTGCGTTATGTGAAAATATATTAGTGTCATACAACTAAAATCCCAAATATTTATTTGTTCAATATTAAAAAATACACATTGCCGGATATCACAAATTGACCGATGTGATATAAACAAATTATCATATTTAAATCGGATGGAGTTGATTTTTTCTGAGGGAATCGAGGATCATTAGGCGAAAAAATTGTTGAATGATTTTTTTTATGATCGAGTTGCATTAGCTAAAATAATTGTTTGTATCAATTTTTTCTATGGAAATCTTTAAGGATTCATTTGTCATTCTCTATAAACTGAGTGCTAAATCAAATTGTATGTGTTCATTCGTCCATTCTATTTCAAATTCTCATACAAATACACATATATTCAAAATGAAGTGTGAATTTGATCTCATTAAGGACATCTCTCAAACTTAAAAACCATGCATGAAACTCCATGCAATTAGGATCATCTAACGCAAATTTGAGGCTGAATGTAGGAACTTCTTGGAAATATTATTTTATGATGAGGAGGTGGGTTGCAATTTTTTTTCTTCTATTTTATGTGTATTGTGATTTAAAATAAATGTGTAATGTTTATTTATACATATTTGTACTTATATTATTTTGAAATGTTTATATAGGGAAGTTGTATCACCGTACTGATACAAGCAGCCCACATAAAAAAATGGATTAACATTTGAGAATGCCAAGTCTATGACATTAAAAAGTACTAAGGTGAGGGGAACGTTGACTCATTTCGTCTCACAATTGCCCAATATAAAATTTTAGTTCATGATACGACAAATATGGTTAAGTTCAAATGTGACTTCTCCCTTTTTTTCGTTTTGATTTTCGAAGCATTGTTGATGAGCGAGACAATTTTCCCATATATTTCTATGTCATGACGATTAAAAAGAGTTAGAGTAAATCTTTATCACATGTTGGTCTGTTCTTGAAAAAGTCATTTTTTCAGCCAGGACCAATTATATAGACTTTTTCAGTCATATATTGAGTTGTTTTTCGTATCTCTAATGGAAATAGCTTGAAAATATTAGTTTATGGAGATGATAGTTTGTCGACAAGAAAACAAAAAATGATGTGTACAAAATGTGTTTAATAATATGTAATGATTTTTTTATTACAGGTTGATTAATATATTTATTCGCACAAATAATAATAAGACTGTGCAAATAGACTTTAGATTGTTGACCCCGTGCATCTCACGGGTTCTGTACTAGTTTTATGTAACATATATACGTATATATATATACTATTTATATATATCGTATATTCCTACCTTCTTGACCGGGTAGAGCGCTCGTACTGATAACGTATTATAAAAACGGGAAAGATAAAGAACTCAATATAGAAACTGTATAAAAATGGTACTCCATGTTTTTCTTTCTTCTGAAATACGCACTCTTTTATTCCATTTGCAGTACCTTTTATAGGCAATTCTACCGACACAATATACATAAATTATTCATATCCACAACCCGTTTACTATTCCCATTCTTACAAATAGTAAAATGTCACTATCTTTTCATAGTGGTTTATTCCACTTGTTTCTAACAAAATCACATATATAATATTTAAAATTATAACTTAAATGATAGAATATCATATTTTATAAATGATCATAAATTATATTTAAAATTATAAATTAAATGGTGTAATATCATATTTTATAAATTGATAATTAGTAAAGATGAATAATATAATTACAAATTATTTACTTGTGTATGAATCACTATATAGATTGTGTAACGTATTTTTTGTAAAAAAAAATAAGATAATGTCTAATAAATTAGTTCAAATAAATTGTTTACACGGTTTTAAGGGTTATTGTGTCCCTAACACGACTTTAGAAGCCCCCACAAGCTCGAGATTGAATTGAACTCTAGTGACTCAAAGTCAAATTCGAGCCATGGTTGAGTCTATATTTCGGTGGTTACTTAAATTGTCACTTCTGTTTTAATAACAATATAAATATGTTATAAAATATTGTACTTTTTCTTAAATTAGTATTCGATCATGTGCATTGGCAGAGATATAAATAAAGTATTATAAGTTATTTATATATAAATAATAATAAACTTATAAGTTAGATAATATTATTAAATTATAAAAATATAGTATTAAGTTATATTTATACATATAATATTAAAAATATAGGTTAGATAATGGTATTATATTTTAAAAATTTGATCATTGGTTCAAATAAATAGTACGAAATTATTTGATTGCATATGAATCACTATATTGATTGCATAAAATGTAAGAAATAATGTAATACTTATAATTTTAAGAGATCATGATCAATTAGTTTGGTGAAAAATATTAAATTTACTATTATTGGTGCTATATACTAAAAGTTTGGCTTTGGATGATATTACACTTTTGCCCTTTATGAATGAGAATCATGTTCGATTAAACAATTTCTATATTATGTTGTTTTACACTTAGATAGAATGGGTCATCATCGGGTGAACAGAAGATCATTTTATCAGTTACTTGCAAAACAAGAATTATTGGTTCACAATCTAGATGGAAACGAACACCTCATCAGAACGGTTGTAGTGTCAAAATACAATTAGTCTTGACTGATTAGTTACATTTGTACATTTATGTATTGAACGGATCCTAGAGAGGAGTAGTTTGTTTTATACTAATCATCATAAACAAACTAGGCATCGGTTAATTATTGTGTTCTCTTATCCAGTAAGATAATAAACAGGCATATACATGCATTACTTATTACTTTGATTCACTTGGGTGGGGTTCAGTTCGTTGGATCACTAGTTTTATTGTCTTGGGTAATATTGTTGTATGTAGGATGTGTTGTTAGCATATTTACGGTCACCATGTGCATTAGTTTGATGATGTCCCCGAAGTGAGTTCATGAAAAATTGTTATGCTAAACCCTGCAGGTTGATTAAGTTTGGGCATAATAATAATGTTATAAACGAGCGCTAGCTTTGGTAATTTAATATATTAACTAATTCTTGATTATCAGTAATCGAATTAATTAATGTACATTATATCTTAAACGTTGGGAGGTAATTCCGGTAATTATTATTGGAGTCTCAAATGTAAGTTTGGATAGAAAAAGGAAGTGCAATAATATTACGTTAGTGGACCGTAATATTATTTAAGTAATTGGAAGAGTGGGTCAGGCCCATACTTATTCCATTACTTAAGAAGTCCTATTCCTGTTCTCCTAAGGATCTCAACTGTAACTCTCTATATATATCATTAAGCTCGTGGAAAAGAGAAGAAGATATCAGAATTCTCCAAACGTGCAGATACATACATGCACGCCCCTAGTCTCTCTCTCTCTCTCTCTCTGTTTTTTGTTCGAGCTTTATCTTGTTATTATTGTTCCACCGATACAAGTTGAAGAGACCTACGAGTAATAAAGTTTAAGATCCTGGTGGTAACCGAGACATATAATCGTCAACCCATAGCTGAAAGATCGTGACAAGCCGGACCTCCGACGACCAATCACGACCCACCGGACGATCGCTGTGACCAGTCGCGGCCGACGTCGCGATGACCTGACTCGATTCGACGAACGACAGCTAACGTAAATCTATGACCACCATGATCTGACCATGCAACCACCGCGGCACCTTCTCCCGAGCCGAGGACCTCCATTCGTGTTCCCGGCATTTTCGACGTGTTGTTCCCGATCATCTCGAATCCGTCAGATTCAGAAAAATTTTAAGCTGTAAGTTTTCTACGTCAAACCTTTAGATCTGTTGCGCATATGTTTGCGTTTTCTATTGAATTCATGACTTGTACATAACGAAATCTTCACAGATTCCAACAAATGGTATCAAAGCACTTGGTTAATTCATTTTGTACAATTTTCTAATTTTTACGGCTTTATTTAAAAAAATGTGTTCAAACACAACCATATATATTGTATTATATTCGCATAATTTGATTTTGCAGGAATTAGTTTAATCCACTATTATGGTTGTATATGTGTTTGATGAATGTTGTTGAAT